CAGTATTCTGTTAAGTAAAAGTGGCAAGAGTGGACATCTTTGTCTTGTTCCTGATCTTAGAGGAAGAGTTCTCAGGTTTTCACCATTGAGTATGATGTTAGCTGTGGGTTTTTCATATATGGCCTTTATTATGTTGAGGTATTGCTTTGGTGAAATTTTCTTTCTTATTTCTAATTCTCTAAAAAAGGACATTTTCATCTTTTTTTACAGGTTTTACTTCTACAAAGACATATTTACTTTAAAAAAAAAAGAGAGACAATGAACTTAGGACTTTTTTCCTTGGATAAAACTTAATTTTCTTTATCTTCTCTACCCTTTACAAACAGCTTAGAATCAGAACCACCTGTTTAATCCAAAACGCATCATTTTTACCGTGTTGTAATTTTCTTTTTTGTGTTTTAACAAGTATAGATGTTACAACTGGATATTATTCCCCTCCCTTACTAGTTATCTTATTTCTGAAGAGTTAGCTTGAACATTATATTGAAGTAAGGGTAAGAACATGAAAATATTTCTAGTTACTGCTACCTTTTTTAAAAAAGATTTCAAATATCTATTGGTCCATAAAATGTATGGGTTAGAACTTCACACTAATGAGAAACAAGGTCTTTTCTGTTTTTCTTATATTTTGTCATAGTATTAGAAAAACGAAAGCAGCAAAATATCTGAAAAATAGGGCAAGAATGATGTGTTTGGTAGTTAATGTCCTAAGTTAGTACCTCTCAAATTTTTCCAACCGTATACCCTGATGACAGACAACTGAACTCAGATTCCAGGAGACGTGGAGTATTTACTGCAAATACTAACTTTCTTTTGAGGTCATATATTTAATCTTAAAAACCCACTCATATTTTACAGTTTACCCATGTCTGTTCTTTGTTAATTTATGTTTAAAACAAATAATAAATTATCACAAAGTTAAAAATTTGACTCTCATAGGATTTGTCTCAAGGATTCACATATCCTCTGCAGCCTTCTGTTTCTGCAAAGCATAGGTACTCCACCTGTGGAAGCATGGCTCTAATCTCCCCTTTATTACAGGTATAATCCAGTTACCAAGAATGTGACTGTAAAGAGTGAAGGTGCTATTCAGGTCAACTTCACACTTGTTCGATCGTCAGCAGATTCAAACAATGAATCAAAGAAGGGAAAGGGGGACAGCACCAACACCGATGATGCCAGTGATCCAACCACTAAAGAGTTTGAAACTTTAATTAAAGACCTTTCAGCCGAGAATGGTTTGGAAAGCCTCATGTTACGGTCCTCCTCAAATCTGGCTCTTTACCGATACCACTCGTACAAAGACTTATCAGAGTTTCTGAGAGGACTTGTGATGAACTACCCACACATCACAAATCTCACCAAGTAAGTGTCACCCTCTTACTGCTTTTTTCATTCGTTCGTTCGTTCTTTTTTCTTTACTTTTTCTTTGTTTCTTTCCTTTTCTTTGTTAAAGAAGTTACATTCAACATAAGCCATGTTGAATGGTTCTTGTAATTTATTTGGAACTGCATATGGGGAGAATTGGATTTACTTCTTTTGAAACAGTTCTTTCTAACAATGAATCTGAAAACTTTTATGAGGAACATTAGAGGAGAATTACTTGTTAGATTAGCAATGGATGGTCTGTGCCTCCTGGAAAACATAAAATTACTCTTCCTAGTGATAACTTTGAATTAAAAACGCTTTTTCCACTTTCGCAGCTGCAGATTCACGTACTGTTTCTTAGTTTGTTTTATTTTTCTGGGGGCAAGGGACAAATTTGGAACTGTGAGTTCACCTGTTAGAGATCATTCTTTCTTTTCAAATAGAAAATGAAGCCTGGGGGCGCCTGGGTGGCGCAGTCGGTTAAGCGTCCGACTTCAGCCAGGTCACGATCTCGCGGTCCGTGAGTTCGAGCCCCGCGTCGGGCTCTGGGCTGATGGCTCGGAGCCTGGAGCCTGCTTCCGATTCTGTGTCTCCCTCTCTCTCTGCCCCTCCCCCGTTCATGCTCTGTCTCTCTCTGTCCCAAAAATAAATAAAAAACGTTGAAAAAAAATTTTAAAAAAAAGAAAATGAAGCCTGGTTGCTGCCATTCCCCGGACTCTAGTCTCTATTCACAGTTGCTTTTCCCTGAAGCCTTAGGGACATCTGTGATCAAGGGTCCTGGGAAAATATCCAGTACTGGCTTAAGTAAAACCGATGCTGAGCCAGCCTTTATCTTCATTTTCTGGGGCTTCTCTGCCTCAGTTTCACTGTTTCATTACAAACCTTCTTTAAATCTTGTTACAGTCACTTAAGGAGGGCACTTTTCGGGACGAGCACTGGGTGTCATACGTAAGAGATGAATCACTGGGTTCTACTCCAGATGCCAAGACTACACTGTATGTTAACTAACTTGAGAATAAAAAAAACAAAAAAAAAATTAAGAAAAAAAAAGAAAATAGAATAAAAATAAGATGAGAAAAAAATCGTTACAATTACTTGAAAATTATTTTCTTCATTTGTTGATTCCTGTTGTCTGCTTATTGAGGGTTTTACTCTACAAGTTGCCCCGAGCTGATGGCCCTCTACTACATGCCTTATGAACATTATCTAGCCTTCTGTATTTTTACTTTGTTTTTGCCAGTACTTTGGCAATACCACTTTCTTCTCTTCCTCAACTGGTTCTTGAATATTTCTGTCCAGTTCAGGTTTTAATATTGTCCATCTTAGTGCTGTATAGAGCTTATAGACCTTCTTATTTTAAAGATAAAATTGGACATTATTTTTGCTATCCATTACTTCATCTATTTAAGCTTTTTCAACCTTACAAATCAAGATGCACTTTTTAGTTAAATATTTTCCCCCAAATATGCAACACCTGCCGGTGATGGGACACGAGACAGTTTTAGGTGGTCCACCAACAGGTACTAAGTATCACTGATTAGAAACATGGGAAACCAATAATTTCTATTCTATTAATCCTTCTCAATTTAATGCTAATTTTTTTTTCTATGTAACTCTTGTAAATCTCCCTTTGTGTAAAAGAAACCAGGCCTTAAGCTCAGACCTCGTGGGCAAGAGCAGAGCACTTTAGGATGTTTGCTGCGATACTGGTATTGCATTTATAGTAAAGTATAAAGTATCTTATCTATATAAATTAATTTACATTTAAAAAGTAAGGTTCTGGGGGCGCCTGGGTGGCGCAGTCGGTTAAGCGTCCGACTTCAGCCAGGTCACAATCTCGCGGTCCGTGAGTTCGAGCCCCGCGTCAGGCTCTGGGCTGATGGCTCGGAGCCTGGAGCCTGTTTCCGATTCTGTGTCTCCCTCTCTCTCTGCCCCTCCCCCGTTCATGCTCTGTCTCTCTCTGTCCCAAAAATAAATAAAAAACGTTGGAAAAAAAAAATTAAAAAATAAATAAATAAATAAATAAATAAAATAAAAAGTAAGGTTCTGTACGTTTATGTATATTTAAATTTTTCCACAATTAAAATTTCAAGCGAGTTAATTTAAAAGCCACACATTAAGTAAATAGTATAGATTATAGAAGAAAGGGCAAATATTGTGAAGATGGTATGAAAATGACTGAATATGGAGGAATGCTGCACCAAACCATACTCTTCCCTAAATCTGATAATATCTCACTTGTATTTGATTTTCTTTGGTCAAGGAAAAGCGATTTTCTTCAGATTTTCTGACACAATGATGCATTCTTTCTTTTTTGAAAGGCTTTTCATGTTTGTGTTCATGTCTGAAACATATTTTTTTAAAAAATCTGTATGTTGGCTTTAACATAATGCTTGATTACTTGCTGACTTGATGTTTTTGATTTTTGAAAGTTTGGGACAGAGTTCCGAATATCGTCACATCTGGTCCCTTGAGATCTCCAATAAGCCCAACATATCTGAACCCGAAGAACCAAAGATCCGTTTTGTTGCTGGTATCCATGGAAATGCTCCAGTCGGAACTGAACTGCTTTTGGCCCTGGCGGAATTTCTCTGCCTAAACTACAAAAAGAACCCAGCTGTTACTCAAGTAAGAGAATAGCCTGTTTTGACATGCATTAGAAGGAAAAAACTCAATCATACCTTGATATCAAGGCACCATTAAAAATTTTTCAGATTTCCTGTTAAATTTTACACAGAGGCACTTTTAGTGCATTACTATAAACTTTACTCTTTGAAAATGGACCACCTTTGTATATACTCACCGTTAACAGTGTCGTTCTGCTGTATTTCTTTGTATATAATTAGAGGCATAGAGAAAGAAAATACTAAAGATTTGCATTCAATCTTTTACTCCTTTATTTACTAGTCGAATTACCCTTCCAATCTTTACTTACCATTCTGTACGTTCTAACTTGAGGGACTTCCATTGCTAGTGACTTATAATTGGGACACTATATTGAAAATGAGGTGGGGCATTTGGGTGGCTCAGACGGTTAAGCGTCTGACTTCAGCTCAGGTCATGATCTCGTGGTTCGTGACTTCGAGCCCCACATCGGGCTCTGTGCTGACAGCTCAGAGAAATGGAGCCTGCTTCGGATTCTGTGTCTCCCTCTCTCTCTCTGCCCCTCCCCTATGTGTCAGGTACTTACACCAAATACTTTGCATACATCATAATTTAATTCTCAATTTGTTATCTCCATTGTATAGATATGAAAATCGAGGCAGAGATATTTGATAACTTACAGGAGGTCACACAGCTAGTATGTGGTAACACTGGGGTTTAAACCCAAGCGTGTCTCACTCTCAAGTCTGTGCTGTTTTGTTACATGATACTGCCTCCCCTAAAAGAAATTTGGGGAGAACTGAGATCATGATTAGGACCAGAAAGTACCTACGGGATTGAGATGAACTTAAATCAGACTTGACCAGAAATTATTTTACCATTTTCAGCAAAGCAAATTGTATTGATTTCTTAATGTGAGTTGTAAAGAGTACTCCAAGGACATGTTTTGTTCTGTTCTTAAAAAATGGGAGAGGGGGGCGCCTGGGTGGTGCAGTCGGTTAAGCGTCCGACTTCAGCCAGGTCACGATCTCGGGTCCGCGGAGTTCGAAGTTCGCCATTGTGGGGCTCTGGGGTCATGGCTCAGGAGCCCGCTGGTTTGCTCTCCCATTCTGTGTCTCCCCTCTGCCTCCCCTGCCCGTCATGCCTCTGTCTCTCTCTGTCCCAAAAATAAATAAACGTTGAAAAAAAAAAAAAAAAAAAAAATGGGAGAGGGGCGCCTGGGTGGCGCAGTCGGTTAAGCATCCGACTTCAGCCAGGTCCTGTGATCTCACACCTGGAGTTCGAGCCGCCCTGGCTCTGGGCTGATGGCTCAGAGCCTGAATGCTGTTTCCGATTCTGTGTCTCCCTCTCTCTGCCCCTCCCCCGTTCATGCTCTGTCTCTCTCTGTCCCAAAAATAAAAAACGTTGAAAAATAAAATTAAAAAAAATTAAAAATGGGAGAGTATCTAGGATAGTGTTTCTCAAGCCTGGCTACACATTAGAAACATCTGGGAAGTTTTTAAAAATACCAGTGCCTGGGCCCCATCCCTAAAAATATTAGTATTCCTTTAAAAGCTCTTTAGGTTATTCCAATGTTTGGCCAGATGGCTGCCTACTGATATTATGGTTGTAAGAGACTGTATGGCCTAGGTAAAATACCTACCAGCAATTTCAAAACTTCTAGCTTGTGAGAATTTGCCTCACTGGCCCAATTAGACTAGAACTAGTAATCATACTTTATTATTTTTTTAATGTTTATTTATTCTTGAGAGAGAGAGAGAGACAGAGTATGAGCAGGGAAGGGGCAGAGAGAGAGGGAAACACAGAATCCAAAGCAGGCTCCAGGTTCTGAGCTATCAGCACAGAGCCCCATGTGGGGCTCGGACTTGTGAACCACAAGATCATGACCTGATCATGATGCTTAACCGACTGAGCCACCCAGGCACCCCAATAATTGTACTTTAAATATTTTTTTTAATTTATTTTGAGAGAGAGCGTGCCAGCAGGGGAGCAGCTGAGAGAGAGAGAGAGAGAGGGGAAGAGGGTATCCCAAGCAGGCTCCACGCTGCCAACCCGGAGCCTAATGCAGGACTTGATCTCATGAACCTCAAGATCATGATCTGATCTGAAATCAAGAGGCAGATACTTAACCAACTGAGCCACCCAGGTGCCCCTCGTAATGTTACTTTAGATTGTCATTTGTTTTGAGATAAGGGCCAGAATTATCTGGCAAGTTCAAGAAAATATACACATACCCTGAGACCTGTAGCAAAGCTCAAGCATGTATACTTTAGAAAAAACTCTCTCCCAGTGGAGAAAGTTAAGAACTAATGAATTTAGGGTCTCCAATATTTTCAATCTTTAGACTGTTTTAGCAGAATAAATAAACCAGGGATTATTTATTCTGAATTACTATCAGAAATATATAAGATAAGATGAAGTATATCAGAAATTAGTTCATGCCACATATGTAGGTATTGATGCATATGGATCATTTGGAGGAGAAATTATTATGGGTAAGGCAAATATTTTACTTCATTTTTTTTGTCATGCTGATTTCAACTCTTCTGTCTCATTGTTTCCAGACATACATTGATATTTGTTACAATATGCATTCCAGTTTTTTAACCTGGAAAATACAGTCTTAAGCATTATTATTGGTTTTACCTAGTGTTTGGCAAACATTTTCTATAAAGGGACATGTAGTATGTATTTCAGGCTTGGTGAGACAGCTGTTCTGTGTTGCAACTATTCAACTCTGAATTACAGCACAAAAACAGTCATATGAATGGGCATGGCTGTGTGCCAATAAAACTTTATTTACAATAGCAAGCAGCGGGCTGGATTTAGCCTGCAGGTAGTGGTTTCTGACCCCTTTGTAAGTCATTAGGAAGTCTGGAAATAGTTGTGCAGGTAGTTTTTCATTTCTTTTTAAATTTATTTGAAGCAAGAGAGAATTTTATTTTTATTTATATTAGTCCTGCCTTTTAAGTCTATGTAAAACAGTAAAGACTTGGGGCACCTTGGTGGTTCAGTTGGTTGAGCATCTGACTCTTGATTTCAGCTCAAGTCATGATCTCAGGATCTTGGGATCGAGCCCCACGTTGGGCTCTGCACTGAGCCTGGAGCCTTCTTGAGATTCTCTCTCTCTCTCTCTCTCTCTCTCTCTCTGTCTCTGCTGCCTCTCTCTCTGTCTGCCCCTTTCCCCTGCTTGCACTCTCTCTCTAAAATAAAAATAATAATAATAAAAAATAAAATAAAACAATAAAGACTCTGAGGCATGGGAAGTTTTGATTCCACATATTGCTAATAAACTTCACTGGTTTCTGTTTCTCTTTTAGCTGGTTGACAGGACTAGAATTGTGATTGTCCCATCTCTAAATCCAGATGGGCGAGAGAGGGCACAAGAGAAAGACTGTACTTCAAAAAGAGGACAGACAAATGCTCATGGCAAAGACTTGGATACAGACTTCACAAGTAAGACTAATTTTGGAGCCATTAAACTGCTTTGCACATAGTTTGATTTCTCTTAGCCAGGAAACTGGTAGACTGTGTAGATGAATAATGGGGAACTTCCTTCCTGGTTGTACATGTAAGGTATAAATGACAAACTAGAAACTTGTCAAATTTTTCTCCTTTATTATTTGCAAATTAATTCAAGTGTTTTCTTATGAATTCAATCAATAATATTGGAAGGGTTCCATTACTAGTCATACAGATATATATTTTTTCTCTCTCTATCCCCCCATGTATGTGCGTACACACATACACACAATTAATGTGTATGTTGATGTAAAGGAGCCTCTTTCTTATTTACTTAAACAGAATCATAACTATACATATGTTCTTCAACTTTTTTCATTGAGTATATCACTGGTATCTTTCCACTTCAGTACTTACAGATCTCTAACATTCTTATTGATGACATCTTAGTACACTGTTACTGTATGCCAATACTCTAGTTTGTTGAACAATTTTCTTACTAATGGACATTTGCTTTCTTTCTAATTTTTTGCTCTTGCAAACAGTGCTACAGAAAACATCCTGATTTCTGAAAATCTTATTTTCTTTCAAAGATAGGTTATATGTTCTCAAAATTATTTTTTTTAAGTTTAAGTTATTTATTTTGAGAGAGAGACAGAGCACAATCAGTGAAGGACAGAGAGAAGGAGAGACAGAATCCCAAGTAGGCTCCGTACCATCAGCACAGAGCCCCATGTGGGGCTCGAATTCATGAACTGTGAGATCATGACCTGAGCCGAGATCAAGAGTCAGATGCTTAACCAACTGAGCCACCCAGGAGCCCCTCAATATTATTTTTTTTTAAGAGGACACATTCGGGGTGCCTGGGTGGTTTAGTTGGTTCTTGATCTCAGCTCAGTTCATGATCTCACAGTTTGTGAGATCAAGCCCCATGTCAGGCTCCACACTGATAGTGCAAAGCCTGCTTGGAATTCTCTCTCCCCCCTCTCTCTGCACCTCTCTCGCTCTCTCTCTCTCAAAAATAAATAAATAAACTTAAAAAAAATAGAGGATATGTTCATCCCTTTTTGTTTCCAGTAAGAATTTTCTTAAGCTTGCTTAGAGTCATTAACCTTTACACACTATCCTGAATTATATAAAACTCAAAGTAATCTACCTTCTAGAGTATATCTTTCACACTATTGAGATAGTATTGAGTCATACAGTGTTTATATACAGATTTCTAAAGTTAGCCTCTGATTGTGCTCATTAGAGAATATTTTCTTAGCTATTCATACTAAAATTTTGAAATGGTACTTCATATTTGACTTTTGCATTTTTTTTAGATAATGCCTCCCAGCCTGAGACTAAAGCAATCATTGAAAATTTGATTCAAAAACAGGACTTCAGTCTTTCTGTTGCATTAGATGGTGGTTCAGTGCTGGTCACATACCCGTATGACAAACCAGTACAAACAGGTACGTAGAATATCAATTTATGTATATATTTTCTAAGCTTAGATAGGAAATTCCAATTAGGTAATGTTCCTTCTAAATTTTTTTTAAAAATTGTGAGCATTTGAGCACACTCCATGAGCAACAACCAACTTGGGAAGATTATGCTTATATCAACAGCTCAGTTACTTGGAGGAGAGAGGTCAGATCTAATGATGGGCCAGCTTTATCCAGTGCAGCCATCTTGTCACATTTGTTCAATCTAGTTCACAAACATTTATTGAATAATTATTATGTCTATGGACATTGGGAATACAAAAGTGAATAAAACACAATGCCTGCCTCAAGAAACTCATACTGTGTTTAAGCAAATATTAGCAATACATGGGAATGCAAGCTGGTGCAGCCACTCTGGAAAACAGTATGGAGGTTCCTCAAAAAAATAAAAATAGAACTACCCTATGACCCAGCAATTGCACTAGTAGGCATTTATCCACGGGATACAGGTGTGCTGTTTCGAAGGGACACGTGCACCCCCATGTTCATAGCAGCACTATCAACAATAGCCAAAGTATGGAAAGAGCCCAAATGTCCATCGATGGATGAATGGATAAAGAAGATGTGGTATATATATATATATA